TCGGTGTTTTTCTGGATAAGCGTTGGCGACGTTCCTTAATGTATTTCCGGTTTTGCTTGAAACGGAGTTGGTGAATCTTGTCACGATGACGCGCGTGAACTTGGACGAAGTCCACGTTCATCCGGAGAGTCTCTCGACTCTGCGCGGGACTCACGTCTCTGTCCATGACAACCGGTCATGATACTGGGTGACCCACGTCTGTTTAGACGATGGTTACTTCTCTGCTGTCTTGAGCAGCCTTGGTAGTTCTTGGTCAATGAATCACAAAGTTCCTTCCTGTTGTAGGAGAGCGATATTGGATCGCATCTATTATCTTTTAGTTAAGGGTTGGATTCCTTCTCGATAGTCCATTGTCTAGGTACTCAAGTTCTTCCTTTCGAGGAAGGCCTTGGTAGTGTTGATTTTAACCCCGACTTCTTGCAGTCTTTGGAAAAGGTCGTCTAACTATTCAACGCGATCCGCCAGACCGACGTCAGTTAGGATGATTATCATCAATGTATGCACGGACATTTCTAAGTCATGATGCTGTTTTTCATCTTCTTTTGGAGATGTCGGACTATTACATAGGCCCATTGCAACCTCTGGTACTCGTGGTTTCCCCTCGGGAGTACGATGGTACAGAGTGCTTCGAGTGAGGGACAGCTCGATGTGATAGTGCCGTTTCAGGTCTAGACTGTAGGCACTTGAACCCATCTAGGTTCAAGAGCATTCCTTATTTTTGGGATAGATAAGCTTCCGCTTGATCCTTTGTTTCGTTCCCGGAAATCAAGATGAATCGTACAGATCCCACTTCTGGGAATGATAAAAGTTGGTGCCGCCCACTCGAACGATTCACCTTCTTGAGTACTCCTGCCTCGAGAGACGTTCAAACTCCTTCTTAAGAGTTTGGTGTGTACCCGTGGAGTAGTGTGAGCCCTGGTATAATAGGGTTTAGCGTCGGGACTAAGTTCTACTCGTAGTCGTCCATTGCAACTCTCCAAAAGTATCCTTGACTGGGCCGAAGCACTTGGTTGAAAGGATGAGGCAGTTCTTGCTCTTCCTTATTAACTGGTTCGACTCTGGCACATCTGCCTAAGTCATTTGTTCGTATGTCGTATCAAGAATTTCTTGAGACTATCTGCATTTCGCTGACAGCTGCAGGATCAGGGATGGAGAAGTTCTCTTCTATGGTTTTGCCATCTTTCGCAGGGGAAAATACGCTGTTCCACTCAATGACATGGTAGTGAATAAAACTTGATTCTTAGTCGAAGAGAGTGTCTTGACTATGATCATGTCATGCACCCCCCAATTTCTTGGTGACGTGAAACCCATTCGATAATTCTATCTATCGTGGAACTCAGGAATCACGAGTGTGCCCTAACACTTCGTGCGGGGTTCATATCCTTCATAGAAGCAGTCCGTAATGTTTGGACGAGCCCCATGATTCTTCATGAGTAAACTCTTTGTATGAGTTTGAGTACTTTAAGTTCCGGATGCTCCTGAATCCAGTAAGCAACAGAGTGTAATGGGTTTTTGTTTCCCTTTTCTCGTCTGTTAATTCTAACATAGACGATAGTTCGAGGTCTCATTGTCTTGCGACGTTGATGAGTTGATTGGCGAGGGACGAAGTTAACGATGCGACAATTTTCAGAGTCTAGTTGAGTAGTTGCTAGGCAATTATCTATTTGCCGTAGACTTCATTATTGCAAACAAATCTTGTTTATTATATTATGAGATATTCTCATCACTTAGGTATGAGAAAACGGAACATGGTTCCGTTGAATCATCATCCCTGGCCTAAATCCTCAGACGAGATCTCTCCCATCCGAATAATTGAAGTCGAATTCGGCAAGCGCCTTGTCACGCAGCCATTTCTTGTCCATGTGTTGATGGATCCGACAGAGGAGTCGTCCTGTTGTCGGAGTTGTCTGACTGGCGCTTGGCAACATGTTTCATTCGCTTTTCTTTTGCGATCAGCCTTGACGCAGCTTGGAAACTTCTTCATGAGGACAGAGGTTCCTCCTTGGTGTAGTCTTGGCGTCGTCGACTTGCGTTTCCAAGTCTTGTTCTTGTTGTACGCTGGCTTGTATCTTGTCAGGGAAGACTGAGACTTGGCTTTGAGCTTTTTCAGAGTCATCAGTCACAGTGTTGTGAGTGCTGGATCGTGGTAGTCGCACCATTTTCTTCGTTCTTGGAAGAAATGGTCGTTGTTGCGAGAAGACTTGTACTTCTTGCGTGTGTTCTTCTTCGAAGGAGTTGCTTGGCATCAACGCCCTTGTCAAAGTCTTGAAGGATTCCATGCGTTCGCAGAATCCAATGGTTTCTCCGTAGGAGCTGAGAAAGGATCTGAAGTCGTGTTCGTCCATCTTCTTCATGCCACGAGCGTGAATTCCATGACAAACAATGTCAATGACTTCGTTCATGGTTCAAGTTTGGTGGGTCCAAAAAGGTGGTAGAGAGAAGTTCATCGGTGTTCACCGACTGAGGTTGTTGACAAGCCCGAGTGATATATCAGCGGCTTACGCATCTTGCGGTGCATGAAGCGTTTCTGTTTTCAAGAGCCTTGTAGGACAGACCGCTTCGATACAGGCATTTATGCCAAACGTAATGTCAGCATCGTCCAAAGCAGGCTGAGCTGCTCCGTTCCAGGCAGCCTGGAAACGTGCTGGGAAAGCGGCTTCGTCTTACACCGCCACGTATGTCGCGTGTGAGGAATGCCGTTGACTGCAACTTGGCGCAAGGCATTCCAACGTACTTCACGGTGGCTGCACAGCTAGATTCGTAACTGCTCTTTGCAGAGCTAGAAGTCATTCCTTGAGGGTTTATGTTTGTCGGTTAGGCTTAGCAATGGCGACCCGATGAAGACCTTCTCCATTCGTCCAGCCCACTTGATGGTTTACGTGGAGTCTCAGATCCATTGATGATTTGGACCTTGAAGGTGTACTTGCGCTGTTAGCATCTGCTGAACAGGCGAAGTTTGTAGGTGGTAGAGCGAGAATCGTCGATTTCGCATCATCGTCGAGGTCGATGAGAGGAAGGATTGGTTTGTCGTGCAGCTTAGACTCGAAGCTGGTGTATGCGTCTTTGGCAATCTTCATGGTGAGGAATAGGTTGAGGGTAGCTGAAAGCTATTGTGTTTGTTAACAAAATGCACTTCGCTAAAAGCTAGTGTAAAGATCTTTCGAGTGTTTTGAGTTTGAGAGAATGAAAGTTATGAGAGGATTAGAAAGCTATGAAAACTAATCAATGAGAGAGATCCACAATCAAAGGATCGTAGATCTGAACTCCCGCGGGAGACTGTAGAGTGTGATAGAGTAGGTTGCGGTAGCAATCCTACTCACTCCATGATCCAAAAACGGAACGCGTAGAAGATTCGTCTAGCATTTATCTAGTAGCGTGGAAGTACTCCACACCAGCTAAATATCTAGAGCGATGTTTCATCATCAACCTAGTATGACTAGAGCGGTCATTGAGAACCCTGTCTCAATGACTATTCACGAGAGACTCAGTCATGAGTCGAACTCAAACCCTATCTAGGATCGAGTCGCGAATAAGGCTAAGAGCCGTGTATTGCAGTAGCCTCACTTGCACTATCAGGCAGCCACTCTTGTGGAGTGTTGGCTGTGTCCATACATGTAGAGGAACGAGTGAGTGTCGATAGATAGGAAGGAGTGAGTGGCTGTCGAGAGTTTCACTGGATACTTCACTCGATAGAGGTGCGTACGTAGGATCCTACGTAGATTCAGTACTAGAGCATGACTGACGTCATTCGGTCTTAACGTGCAGTGAAAAGAATTCGATGACCGTTGATTGCATATCTTCAACAGCTCCTAACTCCACCAATAAGTACACTATGAGGTTGCGAATTTTGTGGCATACTCAACTACATGTGTTCTATCCATTCCCCTATTTACAGTACTATATGTATTCGATATACAGCCCTGAAGAGAATATTCCGCGGAACGTTCGGTCTTAAAGCCCAGATCACTCTACATCTGGAAGCCATTACCGGTGGTGAGCCTAAAAATTCGTCACTATGTATTATACGTAAAACATGTACAACACATAATACGTGTAATACGTATAATATTGTTCCACTTGTGTTATCTGTGTTGTACGTATGACTTGTCTAATACATATTAAAAATGTTATATGTGTAATACGTATGATCTGTAGAATACATAGTGAAAATGTTATACGTATAATACAACCGCGTGCGTTTCAGGGGCTCTCGATTAGTGCTGTCTTCGTTCGTACCCGACTCACAGCGAATTCTCAGCCAAGTTGGTTGGTTCAACATTGCATCAATCTCGCCTATCTTCTTGTCGTTTTTGTCAAAGAACTTGTTGCTCTCACACTGTCAATCCTCATTATCGAGGCTGAAAGCAGGTACATTATAGCCTAGTCCAATCACGGCTTGGATAACATCATAGATGGCAACATCACTGCTGGAGATGTTCGGTATCTTGTCTTTAAGATCCATGCAGAGACTGTCGGCCGCATCTTGGTGATACACCCCCATTAGTGTGACAAACCCTGCCTCAGCTTGGGCTCTGGCTGCAGTCGAATTCTCCGAATGGAACCAGTTGAGGTCTGAAGCAAACGTGGCAGGGGTGTTGGCAGAGAGTCGTGTGGTCCGCTTGTGGGGCCTACTAGCCGTGTCCTGCCGCCCTTGTAGAATGCTAGATTAGATCGCCATTGTAAGAAGACTGCAGGTGCCAAGCTTAAAAGAGGGAACATGATAGGGCATTCAGAGCAAGGCTTAGTGGATCCGGGTGGGACAGTGGAGGGAGCGGTCTTCAGAAGTTGATGTTGCCGGATCCCAACGAAGCAAAAGTTTTGTAGTCTGCAATAGGGATAGAGAGCGGAACCGTGATGCGGGCTTCAGAGTTCTGCCTTTTAGTTCCTTGGCCTGGAGCCTTCTTGTATCACTTTCTCTAACTACTATGTAAGACTGCTCCCGGCACCCGTATAGAGAGAGCAACCTGGATCCTCAAAAACCAGGTGTGCTACACTACAGTACTGGTATCGTCAGCGCCTCTGCATTTGAGAAGCGTCTAGTGATTCAGCAGGCGACTGCAATGCCTTAATGTAAGTGCTCGCGAGGACACCCATGAGTGCTCCTAGCTAGTTAGTTGTAGTAGTACAAGTCATTGGAGCTCAGGCAGCTTCTTGGTCGTCATCGATATCGGTATCCATGCAATCATGCAATTTTAATACTAATGGTATAGCGTGTTCACCGTAGGCCATTCCGGCATTCGAGGCAGACTGATGGCCCCAAGAAAGGCCCCTCTTTTGAGCCATTGGACCCTACGTTGGTGCGGAGACTTCCCCTGAGATTACGTCCTACCCGGTACAATACGGTACGGTATCCCTTGGCCCACTGCTGCATGGCTTTTCCCAATCCAGCACCCGATCAACGCACACTGCTGTTGCCACGAGACCTAGCCGTACCGGGGGTAGTATCAGCGGCAAGACATGGAGTGACGGTCCACGGACTGGTGCATGGTGGACATGGGGAGATGTCAGATGTCAGGTGTGGTACCAGGAGATTGTCGTGGCGCCACGCCTGGAGTATTCGTTGGGTTTGAATGCTACGGTATCGCCAACCCGCTGCCATCTGTTGGACAATGGGCCTTCTGCTCTGCTCTGCTCTGCTTCAATAATTGATTGATTGATCCACCCGAGATACCGCAACTTTAAAAACCAATCCGCTGCTTTGGTGGAAGGCGAACTTGTTATGTTATTGTCGTGTAGCTTCCCAAAAGTATAAATCAATAACCATGACACCCAATCCCACTGCACGGAAACCCCTACTACCGTACCACCCACAAGGCATGAATGAATGAATGAATGAATGAATTGAGCTAGCTGACCTACAACCGAAACGTTTGTTCCTTGTGTATCCTCTCCCGCAACATTGTTTCGGCCCGCGCCAACAAGTTGGCATTTGCCGTTTCCAGGTCGGGCAGGAGATAGAACTCTGCCAAGTGTCGCATGGGATTTCCACCATTTGTACCGTCACACTGGTCGTCTACAATCCGACATCCCGCTTGCATGGCCCTGGTAGCTTTCCAAGGAATGATTCGTTTGGCCAGAGCCAGTATAGTGGTAGCGGCATATCCGGTATTGTATGCCATGAAAATATGCCAGTTGATGGGGAAATGTGCCATGAGTTCGGTAAAGACGCGCAACCACGCTTCCGGATGCAATCCTGCCACTTGGATGCGTCCAAAATCTGCCATGGCAAAGAGTCCATTCCGTACACTGGCCAAGTTGAGTGCGGCGGCGTATTTCATATAATACAATCCCGTAATGTACGTTTGCCAGTGCTGGTCAGAAGACAATGACAAGTCGGGATCGTAGGAACCAAAATCAATGACATTGACGGCCGTATTGGCTTCTGGATCGCTGTCAATGTGGAGACAGAATCCAGGTTGTTGTTGTTGAATACCCATCAGTCGCGCTAAACCTTGTTCGACCGAGTGATGGATCCCGTAGTGGTCTCGAAACGTTTGCATTCGTTCCACGCGATGCAGTGCTTCGGCCAGACTGTCGGATGAAATGGCAAAGGTGGCGTATTCCATGTCCGTCAAGAAATTTGCCGAGGAACTCAAGTCCACATCATCTTGGCATCCCGTGTTCTCCATGACGGCTCGTTTGATCTCCAAGGCAAACGCATGTTCTTGGTCCGTCAATTCCATGCGAGCGTCTCGCTGTGGCGACAGTAAGCGGTCCACGTGAAGAGGATCCGCCGATGACTCGCCACTCTCATCATCAGGGCTCGCGTCCTCCATTGCTTCTTCTTCGTCTTCCAACAGGATCATCAACGTACTGATGCTTGGATCATCTTCATCATCGTTGTTTTCGTCATGCTGGGAATCTATCATCGTTCACCAATTAATTATTACTTGCTCTGTGGTCTGTGGCAGGGTATCAGGATGGATGTTTGTGGGTTGTGGGTGTTGGAAGCAGTTGTTGTTTTTGGGTCTTGGGTCACTTGGTTCTCTCGTTGGTGGCTGCTGGCCGTCAAGGGGGCAATGTGCTGTAGAAACAGGATTGCACTCTTTGGCTTTTTGGATGTTTCGAGGGATTTATCATAGAGTTTAGAGTAGGGAACGACTTATGGTTGCTGCTACTGCTTCATCTACAGTAAGTCTTACCCAATCAAAGAGCTAGAGAATGGCAACTCTTTAACTCTTTTGTGCCTTTACTTAACGACGTACCTCCTGTCCCGGTATTAATACAGTCGTTCCCCCAGTGACCAGTACCCGTACCTGGTACCGACTTGTCTTGAACAACGAATAACGGTGTCATGACATTGTATAGTTCTACCGAGGCTAATTACCTGTTGTATTCTTGTATTCTTCTTACCTGGTATTTACTACTCGTTCTTGACTTGGAATCAGAAAGGATCTGAATGCAGTGATCCAAGGCATTAATGGCAGGTGTTCCAAAGACAGAGATCATACACTGAAGTGTGTTCCACAATGTCCACAATGACTTTGCTCTCGCATGCTTTGTTCGGGGCTGTTCCAGCTGAAAAACCACTGAATTCAGAAGCCAGTGATCCTGGCTGTCACAGTGTTAGTTGAAAATTGTTGTGAAACTGTTCTGCATGAGCAGTGCAAACTGTGACTGGGTCCTACTCCCACATCGTACCTGGTATTCGTATCTATCCCATATCGTACCTGGTATTCGTATTTATGTTTTAGCACAT